TATACACTACTCAAGAGGGTATAGACGAGATTAAAAGTAACCCTCAGGTATACACTACCCAAGAAGGTAGAGAAAAGATTAAAAGTAACCCTCAGGTATACACTACCCAAGAGGATATAAAAAAGATTAAAAAGTAACCCTCAGGTATACACTACCCAAGAGGGTATAGAAAAGATTAAAAGTAACCCTCAGGTATACACTACCCAGGAGGGTATAGATAAAATTAAAAAATAGCCCTCAGATACATGTATACAATACACAAACCTTGAGGACCATTCAATACTTTTTCAATAACACTGCTGTTGGCGCAATACTCATTTAAAGAAGGAGGCGGAGACAAAGCTGCAAAAGGAGGGTAGCAAGACCAAATTAACTTATACAACTATTATTCTTTCCAAATTTCCAAATCTTGGTATCAGGCTCGGCTATACTTGAATGAATTTTTGCAATTCCTCCGGTAATCATTCGCCGGTCGGACTGTTGGCATTTCCCGCCAAATCTGTCTGGTATTTTACAGTCAAAAGAGATTTGATTTACCGCATCAACAACAGGAATAATAATGCAGTTGAGTACTCACAAATACATCGGCTGGAAATGAAGATGCAACATAGTTGCCTGGCGTTGCACGAACAGCCTTGTTGGCGGGCTTGAGACCGCTGGCGTGACACTACATAAATGATCGGGGAATCGACGAAACGTTTCGTTATTTGAAGAAGCATTCGGCCCGATTCCACATTAATTTTTCGTTAGCAAACACTAGAGCTTTTTTGGGTCGAGATTGTATCCTGTAACTCTTGAAAATTCAGCCCATCGATCGAAGACCTCGGCTTCCATGATGAGATCGCTCTTTGTGATTCCGATCCAAGATTCATTGTGAATTGTTAATTAATCGGTGAACCTTTAACCCACAAAATAACAATCACAATCATGGACGGCAAGTTCCTTGCCGAGCTGTCCGTAACGCACAATTACAACATCTGACGCCATGTATTATACATGCGAACGAAACAACTGATCTGTGGATTCTAGACGCTATCGCGCGCGTTGTTCTTAAAATACAACAGACATGCATAACTGAAACTTTCTATTCACAGTAACTCCTTATTTATTACGAGGCAAGGTTACAAAATTCCAAGAAATGTATTTTCGAAAATGCAGCAATGTTTTGCCACGAATTCAGTTAAATCACAGCTGAGGAAGCTTCACGCATTTGTATCTTTTTTTCGGCATTCTTCATCGACTCAAATCTTTTTCTCCAATTTTTTGTTTTAATATACTATTCATATAATTCAAAGGGCTCGTTTCATTTGTCGTGAGCTGTTGGTTTATCTTCATGGCATGCCCAGTTTTGATTAATTCACCGCATAGACACCTACCGACTGCAAGTGTTAATTGGTTCTCTACGTTGACGACAGAAATGATAGCTCCTCTTTAGAATGCATGCTACGAATTTTTTCCGGGCCCAAAGCTCGTCATGATATCATGACAGTTGCAGCAAACATCGCTTCAGCGTTCGTACTTTTCAAACAAACAAATATGTTTTATTTTTTGTGACAGAAAACCTGTAAAATCATTGATAGATTATCACGACGCTAAAGAGCTTTATGAACCGGAATCATCTTTTCGGAAGCTTTGGGATACACTTTCCGCCACATTGAGTGTAACTGTCGTGCTAGTTAACACCTTGTTGCTGCATTCTTTCATTAAGACTCCGTCGCTCAGGAATCAGAAACAGTAACCCTGGGAATACCATCACAGGGAATACCATCACATCTTCTCGATATTCCATCTGACGCCTATATCCTTTAATGTGTCAAGTGGACTGATCATTTTACGAGAACAGCTTGTCTTTTGACTGTCAATGTGATTGCAGTGGAGAAGATGTGTTCAGTCGTTTGGCCTATTCGTCACAAACTTATGAGTAGCAAAGTTTACTAAGGAGCTACTTTGGCCTTCTGGATCTTTGCCGTCAGCCAAACCACTTTTTTTATTTATTGGCGAGATAACTTTAACAAGGCTTCTAGGTTTTCTCATTTTTTGCAGCCAACTGCACTGTTTGTGTCAGTTATTACTATTTCTGCGTGTTATTTACGCATTCGGATAACTATTAAACGCAGAGGAAGGTTCAGAGTCGGCGCAGCAGCCAGGCATGACAGATCATTGGTCCTCTATTACTAGTCACGGGAGTTTTTTTGGTCACGTGGGGAATTCCCATGACCTATGGATCGATCGTTCTGACGTGCAAAAGTTGCAAACACAATTCTGGTTGGCATTTCAGATGTACAACGCTCCTGCTTG